AACCCTGTCCTCGCAGCTTTCAGCACACCTCCCCTCCTGTCACGTGAGACGGCTGGTTCATCACCCCGCTGAATGTACCATCACCACCACCACCACCACCACTTCCCGCATTGGTCATGTGACCTCACAAACGCCTGTTCATATTTACATGTCCACTCAACTGTAAAACGACACAACTTGGTTGAGCGGTCTAGTAAACGGTTGTGCCTTCCCCACTCCGGTCTTCTATATTTTCGCGGGAACGCAGGGTAACGTATTCGGCCTAGATAACCGCATTGGCCCCGGCATGTTGTCTTGAACCATGCCGGGGCCCTCAACAACGTTCTTCATCACGTTTTCGCCGGTCTAGCCAATCAAGAGAACGATCTGGTCTATGCTGGTACCATCGGCTGTATGGTGACAAGGCACAAGCCTGTAAATACCCATGTAGTCACTCCCAGGCCTTCAAGCCGTCCAATTTACCTTCAGGAAACGAGAAGGCCGGCCAGTAAGGGCGACGACTGGCTTAGGTCCACAATCTAGTCGCCCATTTTACGTCTATGTGGACACGTCATACGACATGGTTTCCAATGTATATCGAGGCAAGTCCGAGGAGGCGCTTAAGCAGGAGACCGTCAAACATGTCATCATGGGCCTCACAACAGAGGAAGTCCGCCGGTATGGGTACCTCATGGACCGTCCCTTGGCGGAGGTCGAGGAATTCATTTCCAAGGAGCCAAATTAAACCCGCACGCCTCCGGTTGGTAGCCGTCAACAGACATGGCAGCCACGAGGAGGTCAGAGATTCCAGCATACAAGAGGCTCGAAGGTACGCTGAACCCTTTAATCCCCACCAAAGCCACAGAGTGATTTGTGTGTCAGTTTCATGTCCTGCCATCTATGCGTCATGAATAGGTGGCAGGCCCCTTATTTCCGTAGGTTTATGCAATTGATTGTTGCACTTTCTAGTGGATGCAGGAGCAGGTTGTTCTCCTCGGCACGCGTCAGTTAAGGTTACCAGCTGATTTTATGCCACCCCGACACCGAAAAGCAGAATACAGATGCTCTTTAGAGTACGTTGCTGATCTACGACAGCAGCTTCGCCGTTCATTCGAAACGACCCGATCGCAATTCGCTCTGGCTCATAAACGGCAAAAAGACTACTATGATAAAGGGGCGTATGGGACGCCAGTTGTAGAAGGTGACCGGGTCTGGTTAACTATACCTACTACCGCGGGAGGAGGCAGGAATTTACAACTAGCGTGGAAAGGTCCGTGAGTAGTTGACTCTGTGCTTAGCGAGGCCACATGCGTCATTCGCGACCCTGCCGATTCCCCCTGGACGCGGTTTCACGGTTCACTTTAACAGGCTTAAACCATTTCGACCAGAGGAGGGAGACCCTCCTGTGTACTGCGATCCACCCGCAGTTGATAACACCGTTGAAATAGCTGCTCTAGAGGTTGACGAGAAGCTGGGAACAGCTTCCCTCTTGAAGGGGGGTAGAGTAGCGTGGGGGCAGAAAGACGCCATCTTGGCATTGGTCGAGAGCCAGTGGTGCGTCGTGGGGGTAGCATTAAGTGACTTCCGGTTTCGAGAAGCATTTAAAATACAAATGGAGCGCCAAAGCCCGATTAGCCAATTTCTTCACGAGATTGTCTTTCTATTTCTAGAATCCAAGCCGGAGCCAATGGGCTGACAGGAGCAACGCCATGTAAACAATGACTTAACCCCAATACCGGAGACCCACGCCAATATTTTGAGCAATAAACCTTTCTATTCGTCCCTACGCCTTCTGATCAAGTCCAAGCACGCTACACACGAATGCACTCACTAGCGATTCAGACAGATCGCAGCTCCGCGGGTTGATTGAAGAATTTGCGTATGTTTTCGCTTGAGATGGGGACGGCCCCGGATACTCGAGTGTCACCTGTCATGACATTCATACAACAGAAACCCATCCCACTAGACAAAGGCCTAATCGGAAACCGGTGGTGTATCAGCAGGTAGTTAAAGAAGCTATCGAAGAGATGCTCCAGAAAAAAATAATAAAACTGTCCGTTTCTCCGTGGGCATCACCCATCGTGGTCGTCAAAAAGAAGGACGGCTCCATTAGGTTATGCGTAGATTATCGCAAGCTGAACGAAGTAACTGTAAAAGGTAGTTGTCCCAGGATGTTCTCTTGTGAATCCTCGCCGGTTTCCACGGCACGCGTTTAATCCGTTTCTTGTAACGTCTTCTATCAGAGTTCGGGCCGCTAATGGCACGTCGATGCGCAGCGATGGGTGTATAGATTTGCACTCAATGAAGGTTCTTGCGAGAACCTAACAACTTTTCCTGACATGTCGGCGCTCATAGAGCATATGTATGTGCCCCCAAATGCACCCTCAGTGTACGAGCTAGAGGAAGATTTCGATGCATGGCTTGAGAAGGTTGAAGATATCCTGTGTGGGGTGGAGTCCGGTCGCCGCTCAATTTGCCTCACGAGGCTCATGTCCAAGCCAGCGGCAATAAGGGCACGCAGAGCAGGCTGCAAGCCGGACATGCCCTACGAAAGTCTCGTGCAAAAATTAATGGATACCTTTGCTGACCCTTCCGACAGAGCTTTGCGGCTCCATGAGCTATGGCATCGGAGGTTCCGCTATGGGGAGACACTTAAGGGCTACGTGGACACGTTATACGACATGGTCTCCAACGTATATCGGGGCAAATCCGAGGAGGCGATTAAGCAGGAGACCGTCAAACATGTCATCATGGGCCTCACAACAGAGGAAGTCCGCCGATGGGTACCTCATGGACCGCCCCTTGGAGGTAGAGGAAATCCTCGGCAAGGACCCCAATCTAAACCGTGAGTCTCCGGTCAGTAGCCACCAGCGGACATGGCAGCCGCGAGGAGATCAAAAATTCCACCCTACGAGAGGCTCGACAGTACGCAGACCCACGCAACACCCACCAAAGCCTCAGAGCGATTCAGGTGTGTCAGCTTCATGTCCTGCCATTTATGCTTCATGCTTAGGTAGTAGGCACTTTATATCCGTAGGTTTATGCAATAGATTGACGCACTTTTGGTGGATACGGGAGCAGGTTGTTCTCTTGTGAATCCTCGGCGGTTTCCACCGCACGCGTTTGATCCGTTTCTTGTAACGTCTTCTATCAGAGTTCGGGCCGCTACTGGCACATCGATGCGCAGCGATGGGTGTATAGATGTGCCTCTTGTGATAGCAGGAAGCGCATATCAGCACACTCTTTATCTGTGCATAGATATGTCGTATGACGGAATACTTGGGTCCGATTTTCTAGATCGTTATGCTGGGGAATATAGAAGACCACGAGGTTGCTTACGGTTAGGTTCGCATGAGGTGCCCGTTGCGTACGAACAGAACAATGGCGTCATTGCAGCAGTTACACCGCCGGTACACCCGACTGCGGAAGAGTTAGATATCTTGATAGGCACGAATGCATTCACTAGCGATTCAGACATCGCAGCTTCGGAAGCTGATTGAAGAATTTGCAGATGTTTTCGCTTGGGATGGGGACGGCCCAGGCCGTACGAGTGTCATCCGTCATGACATACACACAACAGAAACCCATCCCATTAGACAAAGGCCTCGTCGAATACCTGTGGCGTATCAGCAGGCAGTTGAGGAAGCTAT